GAAGTAAAAGTTGCAAAATGAGTTGAAAATGTAATACACTTGCCTGGTGTCTTTTGTTCAGTGATTGGCTGAGTCTCTAATGGCACACTCTTGATATCAAACGCTACATCAGAAGGCTCAGTGGTATAGTGATGTAATGCTCTCTCCAAACCAACGATGGACACATTCAAGGCTGAAAAAATAGTGAAAGCATTGAAGCATCATGAATACCAAACATAATGACTATCAAACAAGCCATGCATGGCACAGTCCCCGTTAGTTTAAGATATATAGTTTTGTTTATAGTAATATAGCTGGAATATAAACATGTCAGGAATATGATTATGATGATTGTTTAACATTCAAATGATTGACATTTGTATCTGATCGTCAAACGAGTATTGAGAGATATTGCTCTGGAACAGCATTAATTAAAACAAAATCAGCCATTTTGAATACATGTATAATGAATATATAAAATTTGAACATAGTCAATCAAAGCATTCGGAGATATGGCTCTAGAAGCCCATTCATTAAAACAAAATGGCCACTAGTCTGCCATTCTGAATATGATCTAAAAAATAAATAACGTGCATCAGGAACCCGTAATGTCTAATGTATGTACCAAGTTTGAACAATATTCATCCATAAATGACAGAAATGCTTGATATTTGATGATTTTTTAGCACAAAAATGGCCACTATTCGGCCATTTAATTACGATCGTCAAACCAATATATCTGTATATCTATGAAATGATTTATAATGAATATTTAAAATTTGAACATAATCAGTCACAGCAAGTCAGAGATATATCTTATCTGAAAAACAAAATGATGTGTCTCAACATCCTATAATGTCTAAAGTATATACCAAGTTTGAACAAAATCCATCTGTAAACAACAGAGAAATGCTTGATTTTGATGAATTTTAGAACAAAAATGGCCACCATTTGGCCATCTTGAATCAGATCGTGAAACAAATTGATGTACATATGTATAATATTATGTATGATGTATGTGTGAAGTTTGATTGGTTCACGCATTTCTAAGATACAGGTCCGGACGCATGCACGAACGCACAGAAGCACAGAGGTCAAAACATAAGTTCCCGTTTTCGGACTGCGTTCGAACGGGGACTAATAAAGCAATCTGTTGCTTTATGGATCAGATATTTGCAGTGTTCAAGAAGTATATGAGCCTCTTAAATGTAACATAATAAAAAAAATAAAAGCTTACTGCAGCAATAGGTAACTGTTTCTCTATTAGTAGCACGTGCATTTACATAAATGACAGGTTTGTTTATGATTCAGTATGCTGGTTTACATACACTTATATTGTAGATGTGCTTTGAATAGAGCAAATAGGATATGTATTTATTTTGAAAAGTTATTTATACGAGGTGACAGTATCCATTCAACTTTCATAAACGTCTATGAATTAATTTGGTAGGAAACAAATTTCCTCACTTGCTGTTCATATCAAAAGTCAACAATTGTTTTCCAAACATTATTCTGGACACTTTTCTACATATTAACAATATATTAGAAAGATACAAACTGTCAAAAATGATCTGCTAATTAGTTTGCATATGTGTAGTATATTAATACTCGATATACTTACCATTTAATATGTATGCTGAATTCAGTACTTTCTGATGTTGTTTGAGAACACTCAAATATAGTGTAGCTCTATCACGTACCTCATCATCACTGTCAAGCAAAGATCTACAAAATAACATAGGTAAAGTATTAGAACCTTGTTAATTTTGTTCATGGTATAGTATCTAGGGTGGTTGAAATATCTACATTAATAGTACACATGAATGTCACCTCCAACTCAACTAAAAAAACTGCTCTTGCCCCCCCCCCCCCCCCCCGATATCACCTTATTGATTACATATGTAATCATACTGATTAATGCATGATTTATCATTTAGAATATGTGGTGGTATATGTTCATGATCAAATCAAATCATAGTAAATTGATTACAATTACCGTATTTATCCGGGGAAAATTGCAAAATAATAAGGATAGGCGTTTGCCCGGATATCCCCAGCAAAAAAAACAAAAATTCGCAAAAATTGTCAACACGCAGATCAAACTGCGACAAAAACATGCAAGAGAAATAAATGAACAATATGCAACATTCGAAGTAAAACAAAAATAATGTATTGCTTATAATGTGACAAATAAACCAGAAATAATAAAAATCGACAGTGAAGAAACATTCATAGGATTTCCCTGCCAAAGAACACACTCAATATGCGTGAACACAAAATGAACTAAAACGTCCAGGGTTAAACTGCGTAAAATTATTTACGGTTTTGACAAATACCGGATCACAGTCTTACACGAACAATAATAATTTATGAATTCACACAGTGGAAATTATGAAAGTTCATAGTTGTTTGACAAAAAATTTTGTAGTTCATGGCCATCTTCGCCAAAGTCAAAACCCCCAAAGTCCAAGTCGGTGTCACTGTCACTGTAGAACAAGATCCCTACAGCTTCGTCCTAAAGTTTGTCAATGTCACAAACAATTTTGACTTTTAATTCATGGATTTCGTTGTCATTGCACTTTTAATTCATGTCTGAATGGCTCACGGCAAACGACTCTGCTGCAATGGCACACGATGCTTCTGTTTACAGTCTGTCAATCATCTTTGACCTTTAAGAATCTGCTTCTGATTGGCTAAGAATGACATCATTACTAGTTTTCATCATAGAGGTCAATATTGCTTTTTCATCAGACTGTACACGTTCATCAATCGTGATGAAAGTTTTCATTCAGCAAGTTCTGGCTATTGGAATGTCTCGCTATATGGATATTGCGATGTGCTAGAAATAGGAAGATTTTTTTCCCAACGACAGAAGAATAATTTTCATGACAGAAATGCAATAGCTGTGATGAAAGATGGTTAAAAAATTAGAAGTCTTCGGCGTGACATCCTGGCATGACATTGCAAAATTGCTGGCCCAAGTTACATTGTATGGATTCGCAAGCTCCAAATATTTTATAAAGCCAAAACAACGTGATTTCAACCACTCTCCCTGGTACGGGTTGCTACAATATTGCAACATTGGTTTCATTGCCAACGACGCTAAAGCCGAACGAGTCTCTATTTATGTCACAGCTATTACGCATTCACTCCTCGTTTTACGCAATTGACATTTATTTTTCAATTTCTTTTTACCAAATTTATTGATATTGCTGCAACTACAAAGAAATCTTGTAAGGACCATTTAACACAGATTATTTCATGAAAAAGATTTCTTTAAACCCATCTTCAGACATATGTGAACCCTATAACAATATATTCACCTTTCCAACAGCACCAATACACTGGGCAGCAAGTCTTCACAGTTGGCTCCAAACTTAGCAAGAGAACTAACAGCAGCTAGGAAAATACAGACTCTTATTAACTGTTTTATTAACAGACCCTTTCTTCAAAAAGTTCTACAAAACCTGCAATGGTTTCAAACTGAATAGCATGTAACCATACAGCTCGTGTAATTATCTAATAGAACTTATTTAGAGTCTTACTCCAGTGATAGGAAGTAGAAGATTGTACTAAATATAGAAATGTCAAAATAAGCCATGTAGACAAGAAAGAGTTGACTGGACATTAAATAGATTGTAAATAGATTTCTCCAGGAAAAGACAAGGAGGATAAATGGCTGTCTTACCAGCTCGTACAGCAGCATTTTCCAAGATGACCCGATTGTATATGAAACGAATATACTTAGAAGGTTGTGCGACACGTGGTCCTTCACGTCCTAATAAATGTAATATACGCACTGCTAAAGACGTGTGCTCACAGTCTTCAATGAATTCACAGAGATGAGCTAATCCAGCTTCTTTAGCTTCACTATTCTCTTCTAAGATAGATATAATAGTATCCACTATGGATTTCTTGTAATCAAATCCACCCTAGATTTAACAATAATAATATACATTCATTTACTCTCCAATACACAAAGGGAATAAACCGCCATCTAGGTTTGGAAGAGGTTACACCTACTTCTCATAGCTCACCTAGCATTGACTGGCTTTTCTAAATTAGTAACTGTTTTAACTCATATTCGTTTGTGGTCGACAAACAATACAAAATACAAATGTAAATGGTTTATAACAATGGAGATGTGCAGGAAAAGGTATTGAGTGGATGGAACAGTACGACAGTTACACAAAGAGAGGGAACTACACAGCTAGTTCTGCTGTATAAATCATTAAATAAACCATTGTTTCTTTACTGCATGGTAATATGCTTGTTAAGTCTAGTGGCTTATCACACCAACTAAAATTACAAATCTTAAATTCTGTTCTAGATACTACTGATTATGTAAACTAGTCAAACATCTTTCTATGAACTGCCAGATAGAAACATATGGTACTGCCGTTTATAATAACTAACTATCTATGGCCACTGATATCATTGTAAATGACATAGACTATTAGTATTTAGTAGTAATATGAAATGGTTGATGACATGTTAAAATGTTGATTTTTGGAAACACAAATTGCCAATCACTAAAAAACAAAAATTAATTACAATATTTAAGGGTATATTACAGTGCATACAGCATACTCTTACCTCATCACGGAGCATAGAGGACAGAAAGTTCATCATGACTGGATGTTTACGAGGATACTTCATACATAATGACTTGATTGCTTGAACCACAACGACCTTGAATTCATCAGAGATCTCAGACATGAAACTTGAAATCTGTTTCATCAAACGATCCACACTGCTTTCACTACCAGTCTACAAAAACAACAACACATTATACAAGTCACTGTAAAGAACATTCTCTATATGGTGCCATAATAAATATTTGAACACATTCAATGCACATCAGAGAAAAGGCTCTAATATAAATGAACAGACACAAAAAAATATATTTTATAACAGTTCTACATGTTCCACTTTATAGATTAGGACAGATTACGACTGTATCAATTAAAGCCATGTTATTGATAACAATATTTGATTCTATAACTCACCTTGAGTAGTGTGGTGATGGCCAATGTAGCAATGCTTCTATTCACATCTGTTATCAGGTTTTCCAAATCTAAATTACAGGCAGTTACTGCAGCTGGATGTGTCATTGATACCTTGATGACATTATTAAGTGTAAAACACATGTTAATAACATATCACTGTCAATAGCATGTTCTGCTAAATTATCAAAATTACTGAGGTCAAATCAGAGAGAAAATCAGAACAGATTTAGAAATGTATGATTTCAATACTATATATGTTTGCAAAAATCAGTAAGCCAACCTAAATTAACTCAAAAAGAAACATTATGTAATAATTCTTGTCCATGATCAGAAATTGGTTATGAAATTGAACAAAATACTCATTTTATATAATTAAGTAACAGAAACTTTTGATGTTTTGTATTTGTGCCAAGGCTGGAGGACCATCAGTCAGAAATCTTAAAAGACTAGGAGAGGGGCACTGGAGGGGAACCTAAAAAAGGCTTAGTGATAATGGTTACTTTTTGTTGATATTTAAAACCATGTACCAATCTGCAGAAAGAAATAAAGGCATGCTGGAAATGACACTACACTATGGGATTAGACATCCCAAAATGTTATAGTTCTATATCCAGTTTTACTTCCTCACATGTCTGTAATGCTAACTCATCAACGAGATCTTATTTTAATGTTATTTACCATTATATGAGAGATTCACACTCACCTTATTTAGCGTTTTAGTGGCAGCAAATCTGAGTGTTGGTTTAGGTGAACTCAGGAATAACTGTAGAACAGAGACTGCTGGGGCCAATTCTCTTGCTGTGGTGTTATGCATGTTAACAATGGCATGAGCAGCTTCATAAATCACCATCTACAATACACAAAATGAATCACTATATAAAGTCATACCCAAAGATAACAAAAGTATGTACACATTATATAACTAGAGAACATTACCACATCCACCACATGTCAATTAGGATTCAATGTTACATACATTGCATCATTCACACATACATGAACTCGTGCCAAACATTCAAAAACGCCACATTCACGTGGTCCAACTATCAAGTTCATGTCACAGATTTATCATTTCTATTTTTTAACACATCACACTATGCTATTAGCATAGCTAATTGTAATTTAATTGAAGACACAATCTCCCAGACATGTGCAACCATGGGCATTTGGCAATAATTATATTTACCTTACAAATACACTACTTGGATACTTAAAGTGATAAATACAATGCACAAATTAGTTATGTTATATTTAATACCCACCTCACTTTTATGTCGTAAACAGCTTTCAATGAAATCAAACATGGGACTGTCATGCCTGTAAGAAACAACATATTGGGTTATCCACAGAATTGAAAGTAAAATTCATTCTTTGGCAGCCATTGTGTTTAATGACACTGGTAATGCAGCATCCATTTTTGATAGTTATTAAATTTGGTTGATAGTATTACTGACTACTTACCCAGCACCATCTTCCTCCAAAAGTTTGCATGCAATACGGATCTGAAAATATATATACAGTACATGACTGCAGCTGTCTAAAAAATATTCATACAGTGATATTATAGAAACACAAAATTGAATTTTAGTAAAAACAGAAGATGTAAATACAATACCTACCAGTAAACAGACTGCATATGGTGATTTGAGTGATTGTCTGGTGTACTTTGATACAAGTTTGGATACTGCCAAACGATCATTCTTTCTAATATGATAGAGTAATCCTAATGCATGATATTGTACCATCATATTATCACTAGAAACAGCCTCTGTTGCTTCATTTACCCAGCGTTTGACAACATCATGACTTGTCTTCATGAGTTGCTAAAATGATAAATATATAGAGAAATGTACAAGACATTATGCACACCCTAACAAGTAGTCAAACACTACACCCTCAACAATATCAGATTTTTTTCTATTTATTTATTAACAAGTTTTATTTAGAGGTTTAGAAATGATAAAAACCAAGTAAAAGATAACAAGACATGAATGTCACAGTCCCAGTTATTTAATTATAAAATACTCATGTTAAAATAATACATGGAACATCTGCAAACAATTGAATTCATATGTACTCTATGTGGGTACAACTCATCATAAAATGATTTCCCGTAATCTGATAACTGAAAACTTTCATTGACTCGAGTCCAAAATCTCAGAGTACACAAGTGCAACCAAACTATGTCTCATATATGCTCAAGAAACTGCATTGATAAATCTGAGTAAACCTTGATGTACTTTTAATAACAACTTGACTTCTTTGCTAATTCAGGTCTTTGTATATTACCAGGATCAGAGCTGGATTTGTTTCATTATCACCACTATAATTCCCATCAAAATGTAGCCCTGACACCCCTCTACATTTTCCACTTAGATTGGTAATGGTACGACCCATCTGTCACTGATTCAGATCTAGGTCATGACCAGGTCATGACATCGCTAAAAACCCTAGCATTACAATCTAAGCTATTTACATTATTATTTATTCTAAGCATGCTCAGTTGTTCATACCACATCAGTTGACGAAATAATGAAAATCTCTTCTTTGAACAGTTATCTATGATCTACATGGCTATACTTACCAGCGATGAGACCAAAGCAGCACTTGACACTGCATGTACTTTATCAACAATGGCTTGTTTCATATAACGTTCTATACTTTGTAACATTGTACTCTACAATAGACAGTGCAGTATTATCATTCAAACTGTAAGTCACTTTAATATTGTGCCAGAAAATGTTCATAAATTTAAGTGAAAATTCACTTAATGAAAGATGACTTGAAAATAAAATCCAAAGATACATTAATATTTTAAAAACTTACATCAGTTATTTTACATAAAGCCCTGATAGCTGCAGCCCTGAAAAGATCTTCCTTTCCAGTCATATCTTTTGTTAAACTACTGGTCACAATGATAACATCCTCAGCAATATTAGCCATCTCTTTGATAGTCAAATATACCATACGGCGCAAGGTTGGCTAGAAAAACAAGTCAATTTGGAAATTATATATTGTTTGCTTGATTATCTGTACATACAAAACCTCATTTGGTTCTAATCCATACAAAGTACATTTACCTACTACCAAGCTGTGAGGTATGAAGTGTGATTCTGTTAGCCAAGATCCCTAAATATATGGTTTTATTGGCCATGGTTCCTAGACCACTGGTTTTAATGGCCATGGTTCCTAGACCACAAGTTTCATTGA